CCGTCTCTGAAATCTGTACTGGCATACTCCGCCAAAATACGCTCGCGGGAAGCCGTGAGCGGAGTGTACTCGGTGAAACGGCCCGATGGGCCCCTTTGTTCCCGGACTTCCCGGGGTCGATCTTCTTTCCTTTTCTCCCCGGTACGTCGGGGAGGAGGCTCTTGTCGTGAGCTGCTGCTGTTGTTAGGAGCGCGAGCTCTGGAGTCTCGGGCCCTGTTGGCAGCTTCCCTCTCCTCGTAGTCCATGTATGCTCGGGCCTTGTCGAGGAGGGCATCAAAAGTTGGAGGTGGCTCAATACCCACAGCCTTTCTGAATTCTGTGCCGGGGAGGAGGCCCCTCTCCAGCAGGTATCTTTTCATATGGTCCGCGCAGGGGACCTGTATTGCTTCCCGGTTGAAGCGGTTGATGAATTCCCTCAAGGTTTCATCCTGTCTTTGGATGATGGCCTCGAGGGCCGCCTCGGTCTTCAGATGGCGCCGAGAAGCTGTGAAGAAACTGATGAACTGGTTCTTCAGGTTCCGCCACGACGTAATTGAGCCCGGGGCGAGTCCTTTATACCAGTCCATGGCCGCCTTCCTGAGAGTCGTGGGGAAAAGACGGCACTTGATGGGCCCCCCGACATTATGATAGTGGAGCATGGCTTCGAACCCGTCAATATGGTCGACCGGGTCCGCTACTCCGTCATACTCCTTCAGGTATGGGGGCTTCTCCATGCCCGGGGGGATGGGTGCATCCATGATGGCCTGCGACAGGGGATCGCGGGGGTCGTCTTCGTCGCTCCTCTCCGGAGAAAGAGAAGGGGTCCTGTAGTTATGTCTGGCACGATGATTGTGCTGAGTTTCCCTCGAGCGTGATGCTCGGTGGTTGAAGGTCACACGCCCGTCCCCGGCGTGCCTCTTGTCGTGCCTTGATGGGTCGCGACTGGGTTCTCCGGCAGTGACGGCGGGCTGCCTCTCATAATAGGGCCGCCTCTGCTTTGGCCGGGGAGATGGGCTCCTGGAGTTCTCCCTGTAGTGTCTCCGCGGGGGAGAAGGGTGTCGAACTTCTGTGACCCGAGGAGGTGGAGAGTGTGGCCTCCGATGCCTCCTCGGGGGTCATCGATCATCTTCAAGTGCCCTTAATCTTTCTCCTTGGGCGAAGATGAGATAGTTCGTCTGATTAATGGCCGCGAACAGTGCCTGAGTCGTGGCATCTGCCCTGGCGGGAACTGGGACTTCATAGAACCGGGCAGCTCTGTAATGAGCGAGAGCTACCGGGTCGTCTTCGAGTGCTGTAGGGGTCGAGGAGGATGATGCAGTAGCCCCGTCCCTGTAGGAGGAAGGTCCAGAGGCGGTTGTCACAGGGATGGTATTGTGGACGGGATCACCGGGGTTATCGAGGTGTCCATTCTTGTCCGCGGTACCGTTATTAGTGTCGGCGACACGGACGGGCTGCTCATCACGAGCTGGATCAGCCATGACAGGTAGTTGAATTGAGCTTTGGTCTTTAGAATTGTTCGTTAGACGGGGAAGCTAGATTCCCACAGACGGCGCCACTGATCTGACCTGATCAGAAATGGACCGTCACGGCTGGCTCCGAGCAGAAGGCTTTTTTGAACGAGGTGGGGGGGTACTTGCAAGGCACTTCGATGCTGAAGTAAGTAGGAGTACGAGCAGATAATAGCAAGTGTAAGGTTAGAATGATGAATACCTGACCCTCTGGAAGCAGAGGGTATTTATAGCCCCCAGCGCTGGGCCAAGGTTCCTTCATTGGGCCGGGCAGGTTTGGCCCAATGGAGGAACTGCCAGGTTCTACGTGCGTAGTGGGGACCCGCACGTGGTCCCCTTCCTGGATGTTCTGCGTGAAGTGCGGGTGGACGGAGACGCGGTCTTTCCGGGGTATCGTTGGGGAACAGTGGACTGAGTCTGCCCTAGCTGGGGTGCTCGAGGTAACGTCGAGCTGGACCTCAGAATGTGGTGCCTGACCACCTCATGTCGAGCTGGAGGTGTATCGTCGAGCCAGTGACTGCGCGTCGGGCACGGTCTCACTCTTTGGTCGGCGTGGCCCTTGTAAGTCCATTTGGTCTGGGCCTTTGCAATGCTTTTGGGCCTGTCGGGCCCAGTCCAGAACAAGTTTCATACTCAATTTCTTATTTGAAAGTAAGGCCACAAAATAGAAGAGACCCATCTTCCTTATTTATATTCTTCTTTTGAAGATGAGTTAGAAAGAATTACATTTCTTGTTCATGAAAGAGGACAACTCGAGAGATAAATAATGTATGAGATAATGGATAATAACATTTGTAATCTTTTTAGGTGGAAGAGTATTCTATAAAGACGCATTTTAAAGTTTTGGGATTAAATTTTACTCTACCATCATTAGGGATATGAAAAAACGTCGTACACCCAAATATTGTAGTTGAGAGATTACTGGAAGTGGACACATAAGAATAAAATGCATATAAGACTTCCATAAGAGTTTTAGACGAAACGATGGTAAGAGGTAAAGGACTTATGAGATATGATGCATTTAAGACAGTCTCACTCCAATAATTCTTAGGAATCTTATAACAAGTGTTTGGTGTATCAGATGCTCATTCTTTCTTGCAACAATCTCATTTTATTAGGGATTTTTAACATAAGAAGACTTGTGAATAATGCTTTCTTTTTGATGAAAAAAATTAAGATGCATTTAAAATAATGTTTAGCATTATCTGACCTAGCTCTCTTAATACTCATACCAAACAGATTTTTCAACCATAGAAAATACGTGAAGAAACGCATAATAGACTTCAGATTTTTGTTTTAACAAATATAGACCCAAATAACCAGAGTATAATCATCAATAAATGTTATCAACCAACGAACATATGTAATATTTGAAATATTCGACCATCCCCGCACATCTGTATGAATTAAATAAAACGAAAGAGTGTTCATTTTACTACCGATGAGAAAAAGACAAGTTGACACACCTTATAACACATCTAAATTTTAAAAAAATAAAAGAAGTAATTGTTTTATAACTCTAAATGAAGGATGAAAAAGGCGACATTGGAGCAGAAATGTCTTTTCTATGTTGATTTTTTTAATTAATTCTGAATAAAATGAGTTGTTGGTGCTTAATAGATTTGGAGAAATATTCTAATTATCTAAATAATAAAGGTCATTCTATTATCTTACATTTTCAATTGTCTTCCTTGAATTCATATCATTGGAAAACACAAACATTGTTATAAAAAGACAATATTATATAATAGGTATGTCGTGAGTTGTTGTATGAAAATTAGGTTAGTGGACAAATTAAGAATATAAAGGGTTACATATGGATTTATTTAGATATTTCCTCTCTAACAAATTATAAATAAATTTGACTTTTTAGTATATTCGACAATTAATATATATAGTCTATATATTGATTATATATATTAATTAAAACGAGTAAATAAGGATATCATTTATAGTAAATATTTTTCTGTAATTGGGATAAAGTAAATAAATAGAAAAACGTGTGGGTAAGAGTGTTATATGATGAATGACTTTAGAATCCAATATACGGTATTGTTATAGGATTTATCTGGGGCCTTAAATTCAAAAAAGAAAATTGAAAGTTATCAAGAGGAAGTGAAATCAAAATTGAATGTGCCAAAGGAAAAGTACTTATTGAACTCTCTGGTGTTTCTCTTGGCTTGGATAAGCTTGTTAATAATGATTCATCTTTTTTTAAGATACATGCTGCCTCTGCTTCTTTTCTAATAAGTGGATCTAGAAGTAATGTTGAACATAAACCATCTCGCCTTGATGGTGGAATGAGCTACTCAAGGAACTGGTTTTCGTATAAAGAACTAATCAAGGCCACAAATGGTTTCTCAAGAGAGATAATAGTGAAGCTCATTACTGGACAGATGCCCGGAGATCCATCACAACTAGGAGATGATAGTCTAGTTGAATGAGATAGACCTTTATTAAGTGATGCACTTGAAACTGGGGAATTTGAGAGTTTGGTAGATCCAAAGTTAGGAAATAAGTTCATTGATACTGAAATGTTTTGCATGATTAAAGTTGTTGCTGCTTATGTTCGGAATTCAGCTTCTAAGAGACCTCACACGAGACATGTTGTTAGAGCTTTTGAAAGCTTAGCAACTTCAGATTTAACAAATGGAATGCAAGTTGGTGAAAAGTTGTATGAGAGACTTGTTTGGATGAAACTAGGATCAACTACACAAGTTTTTTATATATGGTTTAATGCCACATTTGTTAAATGGGATTCAGGTGGTTATTTTATTTTCATTATGAAGATCCACTTGACATTGAAGTCACTTGAAAGGATGCTTTTATCACTTATATGCATTGTTATGATCTCAACCTTGAGGACAAGGTTGATTTTTAATGGGGTGGTAATGTTATGATCCAAATTGAAGAATAGCCAAGTCATCAAAATGAATCATTAAGATAGTTAGAGTAAGCAACACTTGTCACTTGATCCAACAATTTAGAAAATAAAGTTAACAAGAAATATTCTCTTGCCACTCTACAAAATGGAGCATTGATTGGAAACAAATGCATGGAAGAAAATTGATGAAGTCTCTCATCTTTCTCTTTGGTACTCTCTTGTAGAATAATAGTCTAAGTCTTGCTATGTGAAAATTGAACAATGTACATGCATCAAATAAATTCACTAATAAATAGCAATGACAATCAAAACATATTCACTTGAAAGAACATGTGAATTGTATCATCCATGAGGAACCTTTTTATTTGATTCCAACCAAAAGGGAAACGCCATATTGAGATTTGAGATAACCTCAGTTCAATGTCAATGTTCACCTTATTACAATACAATGTATAAATTATAGTAGTCTATAACCCCTCCCAAGCTTTGTAAAAATCAAAAAGGAATTGCCTTAGCATTCCCAACAAATTGATCTATACATAAAAATTTCTTTCCCTAACTACCAATCATGGAAGTAGTCTATAGCATATTTTCAAATTGCACATGAGTGAGACCGGACGAAATTCGGCTCATCTGAAAACTAGATGGTGGCATGTGTTATCACAAGGGTAAGGACAATCAATGTCCTTAACACCGGCTCGGTCAAAATACCAGTCCCCGACGGCCAGAGCAATTGCCTACATAGCCAATGTGTATCCGTTAGAGATAAGACACAAAAATAATAAGATCTTAAACTATGTTATAGAATCGCCACTGCTGCATAACACAACCACTATGTTATATATTAGTATAATCAATAAACAAAGATAGAAGATACAATTTCCAGAAGAAAAAAAACAATTATTTTGGAGAATCAATATTAAATAGTTGAATATTTTAACCAAAACTGCATAGGTATATGTGAGAATCACCTTGTTTCCAATGACAGGAGAGTTGTCAGCAAACCATGTGTCTGGTCTCTCAGATTGGCAGTGAGCAAAACATGAGTTTATGAACAATCCATTTTGATTTGATCTTGAGAACCCTCTAACAGCATTCAGCATGTGATTCCTGAATCCTATATTAGATTATAGTTAAACGAGGTTTAACTAACTCGGAAATTTGTGTACTTCTAATGAAAGTATTTTCTCGTGCATTAAACCACCTTGAAGAAACTGAATTTGTGAACCAGTACACTTAGCGTGGTTTAATCTGCAATCATGCCAATAGCCACGGGGATCGTTCGCTGGAGGAGCTAAGCTTGATTGGACCTGTCGACAAAAAGAAAATATATTTGTTAATAATATGTCAGGCAATGCATCACAACAGTCATTAAGTTGTTGACTTATAAATATCACAACTTGTTTACACTAATACATAAATATAAATAAATATTGTCGCCGGAGATTGAACCGTAGACTAGCACATAACAGTTGAGCTACCGCACCCACTTCCACACAACAGCCATTGATAATCAGAGTTTAGACAGACGAGTTAAGAATCAGACATTTACCTGCCATGAGTCATAGGCTGTATTAAGAATGAATAGCGGGGTTCTGATACCGGCGATCACATTCTCAGGAAAGAAGCACTGAAAGAAAGAAAAAAATATATCACTGAAAGATCAACTCAAAGGAGCATTTACTTTTCATCAAATTCATTCAAATGAAACTATAACTTAAAGATTTTTCGAGTAGGATATATCAATGATTACCGAGGCAGGATCAAGATGATTACTACAAGCGCGTGGAAGATTCCTCTGCGCTCCCTGCAATAAGTGGACAATTTTTTTTTTATCATCACCATGTTCTATAATGTTGAATAACCATGCCAAATGGCGGTCTCGAGAAAAAAGTGCAGTACCTGTAGGGTTACAACACCGTTGAAAAAATTCCTGAGGGTATGTCCACCAGCTACATCAACACTATAAATCAAAGGGGAAACAAACAACTAAGAATTAATTTTAGGACAAAAAATTGAACGACACTCGTAGAATGAAATAGTGAAGTTAGGCACTCACGCGTCAAGAAACAAACCAGCATCACTAAGACACTTCACTTTGGTAGTCCTCGGGAGTAGACCTCGAAATTCATCACAGTGTAAAATCGTAGCTAGACCACCAGCTGAGCATCCAGAAAGAAGAGCCTAAACCAAACAAAAGTTGTAACTAACATGAGAAGAAACATTCTTTAAGAAGCAGCGTGCACGCGCGAATGTGTATGTGAACAACCTGCTTGGCATAACGCATTCCCTTTGACATCAACTCTTCAATTGCAGCCAACCAAATGCGTTGTCCTCTGAATTGCAGCCGTGCAGCCTATCACAGAGGAAGAAACTTATGAAAAACTTAATTAGTAAAGTTGGCAAACATTTCAGTTTTGAAGATTTACCCTATTTTCACTATCACCGGTAAAAGAAGCACCATCACAGTAACGAATTTTCACTCTATTCCAGTTAAAGAAATCTGCAATCATAAGGAACAATATGAGCCAAACAGCTAAACAAATCCCTTTTAAGCATAATATAGTTCAGTTGCATGAAAAAAAAAACCTGGATTCTCTCGAGGATTATTGCTCATTATTCCCGTAAAAGGTATCGCCTTCTCCATGAATTTTGATGATCCACGCCGTGTAGTCTTGCGATAAACGCATGTTCTAACGTTATTACACCACGCACCTCCCTGCCACAGAATTTCACATAAATATTATCAAACAACACTTTTAAACTCTTCTATACAAGATCTCATCTCGGTATACAATATAAACATATTAAGGAAACATATAAGAAAGACTATCATAGAACAATATGAAACACCATGAGATACCTCTAAGTTAACAATCCAGCTGTTTGCTCCCGATCCGTATCCGCGGTCGAAATGATAAGCAGGCAATGTTCCATCCAAGCAGACTGCCAAAATCAAATATTCATCATATTCAGCCAAATCAAAAGCTATACAATTTTTCAGACACTGAGAAAATCTCAAACTCTATACAAATTTTCAAGTTAATCAACCCTTGAAGGCCAGTTTGTCACATGCACTATATAACATACAAACTTGAAAAGATACAAAATTTGGGGTAAATTATTGGAGTGAATAATAATTTTCATAAACAAAACTTCAAAAAAAGAAAAAAGGGTTAAAAGTGGATTGTACCAGCTCCTTTAGCAGCAGCAGATTGAATAAGGGTGATTCCCACCATGCGAGGCTGATTCACAAGGTTGGAAGAAAAAGAATAACCTTCATGAGCTTCTAAGATAGAGAGTTCAGTTTCATTGATGTGATATGCATCAACCAATTTGATGAAAACAAGTGCTATTACAATGCTAACCCAGAAAAGCTTCACCATTGTTCTTCTTTTCTGTGTTTTGTGAAAGAAACAAGACAACAAACAAAACACAAAGGTGCAAACTTTTTGGTTATTTGCAACAAAGGAAGGTTATTTATTCTAGTAATTAATTAGGACTAATAAATATAAATAAATAAATATAGAAAATATGAAGAGTAAGAAGAAGAGGGAGATTTAGAATGGAACAAGACAGTGTTTGCTTTTGCCGGGCTTTTTAAGGTTTTTGTCTTTATTATTAATTTATTACTGTGACATTGAGAGAAAAATAAAATAAAAAAATAAAAAAAATAAAAGATTTTAAAGATTTATGAATGCTTAAATTACATCATCACATTTGTATCTTATATTTCTATACAGCTATCCTCATTAATTTGATTTGCAGAATATATAATTGTAAAATTTTTGTGTAATTATTTTTAAATATTTTAAAATTCATAATTATAAAGTTTAAACAAAAATAAATTCACTTGAAACATTTTTGACAATCTTAACTGAAGTCATTACCTTATATTGTAAGTTACAATCTTTAATGAAGTTGTTACCTTAAATAAACTCATTACTTTATATGTTATAGAATTAAAATAAGTCATAACCTTACATTACAATCTTATAAGGGAATGAATTTAAGGATATTAATTCGTCACCTTAAAAAAATTAATTGTCTTTATACATTATAAATTCACAATTTACAACACCAACATGTAGATTAGATTTCAGGGCATTCAAATTAACGATTATTTAAAGAATAAAATTTATTTTTCAGGTGGAGTTTTTATTATTTTTTAATAATAATATGATAAGTTATAATTTCTTCTTATACATGTTTAATTTTTTCTCTCTTTAAATTATATATAAGTATATTTGTCATATTTTCATTTGAAATAAGAACCACACCTAAAAAACTATATTAATATTTTCTTCTTATTTATATTATCATATTCACGTTCAAATTAATTATTAATAAAGGATATTTTTGATTCAGTTTAAATTGATTTTAAGATAAAAATTTATCTGATCTAAAAATAAATTTTCTTGCAGTTCGGTTTGATTTTAAAAAATTAATTAAAAAATATGATCTGATACGATACAATTTCATACCATTTATTTTAAATCAATTTTTAAAAATCCAAATTATATATTATACTTTTTATTATGCTTAAAAAATATTAATAAATAATAAATTTGATATAATATATAACATATAATATGTACAAAATTAATATTACAAAACAAAAATAATATATAATGGCCGAAACAAATGAAATAATAAAAATAAATAGATTAAATTAAATTAATAAATAATTTTAAAAAAATAAATATCATTAAATAATAAATTAATACAACATATCATATTAATATATTAATATAAGATAAAAAATTAAATATGTATTAGAATATATATTCATTTCGGTTTGATATGGATCAGTTTCAAAAAATCAATCTAAAATCTGATTCGAACTGAGCTGTTTTTATAAAATAACATCCAAACAAATTTAATAATATTTAATTTTTTTTATCGATTTGCGATTTTTACTTAGATCAGTTTGAATTTGAACATCCCTAATTATTAATATAATTTTACATTTTAGATATATTATGATATGATTTTAAACAAATTCACATTTTTTTCATCCATATCCAAAATAAAAATTAAATTCATCTACTTTAAAAAATCACAAAAGATATCTCTAATTAATTTTTTTAAACAAGTTTTCAAAAAAATAATTTAACTTTTTTTGAAAAAAAAAAGTTTTTTTCTAAAATTAAAAAAATTGTTTAAAAAAGAATAGATTATTTTAAAAAATTCTAAAAATAAATTATTTTAAAAAAAACTTAAATCAAAATTAATTATAAAATTGGTTATAGATATAACCTATTAATAATTGATTTATATTCATTTAAAAAAAATAAAATTCAATTAAACAATTATTTTAATAACCAATTACAACGAATTATATATGGTTATGGAAATTAACCGTCCATGAACATCTCTAATATTATTTTCACCTTATAAAATTTATATAATAATAATAACAATTCAAGGTGAACGCGTGAGTATGATCACTTAAGAGTGGGTAGTGCATGTTGTTGGGAGTTAAGTTTCCGAAGAGTTTTTTTAGATGAAGTTATTGTTATTACAATTTATTTGATTAGTATATCTTCATCCACGAGAATAAGTTACATGATAACTGCGAAGGTTTAGCGTGGCAAACTGATATCTAATTTGAAGGTTTTTAGGATTTTGATGTTTGCACATATCAATCAATGCAATTTAGAAGTCAAGAGATGTGAAATGTGTTAATTGGTTATCATGAATGTGTGACGGGATAAAAAGTTATGGAAGATGGTACACGTAACACTTTTATTTCTCTAATAATAATTTTAATAAAAATTAAAGTAAAATAAATTTTTTACATGAACAATATTTTGGATGAATCGACAATTTCTTAATATAATCTTCAAACTTCAACTTTATTAAGGTAGCGGAAAAAATATCATAATTATTCTCAAATCTTCAACTATTATAAAATCAACAAAATTAATCAATCAAAAGAGAGTTTACAACACTCTCAAAATTTCTCAAAGACGACATTACATAAAATAAAGCAGTCAAGCGTTCATTCCCCGGTGTTACGTATCAGAGTAATGACACTCATTCAAAATAAAAGGAGCAATCTCTTCTAGACTCCGCAGCTTCGCACTACTCTTGGCTACGTGGACGCAACATTTAAACAGTAAGGGTGAGATATTATAACAATATAATAAGTTATATAATTATAAGTAAACAACAGATACATCATGCAGAGATTCAAGTTTGACAATTCAAAAATGCCACAACTCAACAATTCTGTAATTCAACATATGCAATGCAACTCACTCTGATACAAGAATGCATGTGGTACCATCAGGGCATGGGCCCTCAACAAATTGCCATATAGGTTAGGGCATAAGCCCTCAACAATTGTCAATACAGGTCAGGGCATAAACCCTCAACATTTGTCAATACAGGTCAGGACATAAGCCATCAATATTTGCCAATACAGGCCAGGGCATGAGCCTTCAACGATGCATGAAATGCGGCATGCTACAAAAAAATTATGCAACCACGAGCATAATCATCAACATCACGCCAATTTCAGTCCAACATCATCTTCACAATACTGCAATATCACATGTAATTCCTTCACACATCATCGATACAACACCGATACAATTAATCGCAATATTTTGCATTACTACACATACAACATACGCACACATCAGAATTATTCCAATAAAATATTATTATACTGTCATCAAAATTATTACCAAAATTTAGAAAATATTTTTAGCTTTCCAAAATTCAAACAGTGCTTCAAATAGACACCCGAGGAGAAAGTTATGATTTTTAAAAGTTTTCCAAAAATATTGTCAGTAGCAGTGGTAACCGATTACCCAATTATGGTAACCGGTTACCGCAAGACAATAAACTTTTTCCTTTTCAAAATTCCTCACGGTAACTGGTCACCAACTTATGGTAACCGGTTACTGCAAGTTAGTAGCCAATTGTTTAAAAACACAAACAACAGTAACCGGTTATCCATATATGGTAACTGATTACCCATCGCGAGGAGACCCCAAAACTTGATTTTTCTGCTACGAAATCTCATCTTCTTCACTCAAAAACCTCTTTTTATGAAAGATCAAATACATCAATTCATTTAAAACATCAACACACATCATATACCACCAATCTAACACAAACCACACATCAATTTCATCAATTATAAGCAATTTCAACAAACAATCTAACAATTAACATACACCAAAAGCCCTACATTCAAACCTTCATCTATCCACAATTATACCATCTATTAGAGAGTCAGAACCTCACTCTTACCTTAGGTTCTTGATTGATTCTTGATCTCTACGGAGAATTCCTTTGCCTTAGTTTCCTAGTGCTTCTCTCCACTTATACCTTTTATGTTTTTGTTCTATTTCACTCCAGTTTCCTTCTTCTCACTCTAATATAGTCTAATTATATAACTAACCCAATAAATAATTATTTACAAAATTATTATTATTATTCTAATAATATAGTAATAATAATAATAATCTATATTACTCCACACACCCCTATGTTTCTACATATTTAGCCAAACACCCTCATAATCTCAACTTCTATAATTCTAAAGCATCTAGTCCCCAACAAGGCATCACACCATATCATAAAATCCATCAACTCATATAATTTCACCGCATCATCTTATTATTTAATTAAAATAATTCTAATTAAAATTAAGGTGCTACAACTCTCTCCCACTTAGAATATTTTCGTCCTCGAAAATTACCTGAGGTAAGAAACTCTGGATAAGCCTCCCGCATCTTGCTCTCTAATTCCCACGTCGCATTCTCTTCGACGGCTCCGCCCCAAACCACTTTCACAAGAGATATCTCTTTGCTTCTCAGCTTCTTTACCTCTCGATTCTCAATCCTCACAGGTACGGTCTTAACAGTAAGATCGTCCTGCACTTGTACATCATCCATTGAAATTACACGCGACAGATCAGAAATATACTTTTGGAGTTGCGACACATAGAATACATCATGAAAATTCGATAGATTGGGTGGCAAGTCCATTCTATATGCATTGGTCCCCCACCTTTTCTGAAATTTGATACGAACCAATAAACTGAGGAGTCAACTTCCTTGACTTCAAAGCACGTCCGACACCGGTCACCAGCGATACTCTCAGGAATACATGATCTTCTTCTTGAAACTCAAGGTATTTTCTCCTCTTATCATGGTAACTTTTCAGCCTACTCTGTGAGGCTCTCATCTTCTCTTGTATCATCTTCACTTTCTCTGTAGTTTCTCGTACGATTTCTAATCTAAGTAGGGTATTTTCACTGGATTCATACCAACATAACAACGTCATGCACCTCCGACCATATATCACCTCGAAAGGTGCCATACCAATACTAGAATGGAAACTATTATTGTAAGTGAACTCAATCAAT